GTGGTGAGTTGAGCTCAGAATATTACTTCTTAAGAGAGTTCACTGTGAAGAAGACTTCAGGTACAGGATTGAACAAGCGAATGTCAGTTTAACTTGTTTCTTTTGTAAAAAAAAATCGCATAGAGTAACGTGATTTTGTCAATCTGCAGATCAAAAATGTCATTGTTTCTTACTGGTTAGTCGAATAATTTTACTTTTTTTACCAGATACTTAGAAATACTAACCAAATTTTTTCTTTACCATTTTTTTTGCTTACGTCTATGGTTTCTCTTTGGCGAAATAATTTTATTTTTGAAAAATCGATGTATTTTCCTGTAATTCCTGATACTTCACATGGTCTTTTGAGATCATGACACTAGTCGTTTTGTTGTTTTCTACGAAATAATATCACGTTTCATCTTTTACATGTTACAGATCATGCCTGTTGAATAAAAGGAGAAAACGCAAAAAGACAGAAAAAAATACACAAACATAATGCTGCCAAACCAAATTTCGTCGCCTTGTTCGTATTTTTCGCGAACAGCTTAATTGTGAAATTTCTTCGTTTGCTATGTTAGCAAACCGTGTAGCCATTTGCTCGCAACTTGCGCGAGTTTGGTGTCGCTTGGAGGCTCCGGCTCGGAGGTGAATAGCACTGGATATCCCGAGTTTACGTAGCCAGAGAAAACAGTGTGCGAAAAAATGATATCCACTGTTTTAGTATATCCTAATAAAAACTATCATGTGTTTGAAAAAGTACCATACCAGGCGAAATCCTTTTATAATCTCCACGAAGGTTCATTGGTGTGTCTAAAAATCCTTTTAGTCTCTCTAAAAAGAAAACAAAATAAAAAAACAGTGATTTCTTAGAATTTTGTACCTAACGAGAACTATAAATCAACGGCGCAAATTCAGTTACGAATAAGGGTATATAAAGCGAGAACTGAATTCGAGCGAATGGAGAGAGTGGGAGGTCTACAATAACATATAGATTTAGCCAGAACTAAAAGCGAAACTCTCGCTTATGCCTTTTATGTTTTTTTTTTCAGAGAATGTACTTAAAACCATTGCAAAGAAATCCATAAATCTCATAATTAATTACTTTAGGGGAGAACTATATTACTGAAAAATATAAAGTTGAGCCTGTAATAAATTAAAAGCTAACAACTGGTCAGCAGAAATCTTAAAAAAACGTGACCTCGATGAGTTGGCACCTGAGCCCACGATACGGTGATGTGACACTGGACAGCGGATACCCTGTTTTGAGAGCTGTCAATTGACCATAATATGGATGTTTATTGTCAAGTTAAACACAGGTTACAGGCTCCCATACTAACTGTAAAGTTTGACACTTCACATTGGTGTCCCTGTAGTGCGGACGAACGGGCGGACGTACTGTCACGTGATTACCAAAATTTCTCCGCTATGAAAGTTCAAAAGGGCCCGTTATCAAGTCTCAATCTAAGGTAGCAAACCGGTTTTACCAGGAAGTATCGGTCAGTTAAGCTTATTGGATCTTTTTGATATTCTATTCCATGAAACTGTTTTCGGGTAAATGGTTTGATCTACTATTTTATAGAAGCTTTCAAGCTTTGAAACTGGTTTGAAAGTTATTTAATTAATTGGAGCAATAGTTGTATTCGATGTTATAATCTTTTCGATTCGCGCATGTGTAATCTCTTTGTAGGCCTTGGAGTGTGGGGAAAGAAGTTACTTTTAAAGTCGCTACAACCAGTTGCAAAAATGTTGAGACACTCTCACGGAAAAACACCCTTTCATGCTTCAAATCGCTGCTATTCACAGGTCTTTGAGATATAATACTGACCTCCCTCCTCCCTCCCATTCAAAGTTGTTCCTTTATGTTTTGAGCATGGTCTTGCTTTGTTAACTTTGATAAGGGGTGAAGGGGGATCACAAGCACAATATGATGGACAGGCCATTTATACCAAAATACGGTACAGTGTCTCAAGTACTTCTGTAACTGGTTGTATCTCCATCTTGATCCTTGGGTCGCACACCTTTGTCGTCTATTTACAGGCCATCTTTCGTCACTCAACGAAGTCTTCGATCTTTGTCTAGTAACCGTTAAAAAGGCTGAATAATAGTCGCTTGTTACTTCATTTAAGTGCTGTACAGCAATTTACTCACTTTTTTCAGGTTTCTGAGATTCCACATCGGGAAGCACTCTTGAATTCTCAGAATCCTCTTCGGTTTCCTCTACGAAAAGAAAAAATAATGTCTAGTTTGAGGATCTTTTATTAAGTCAAAATCTGTGGTAGAAATAAAAGGTGCTTTCCATTCAACCCCAAATTCCGGAAATTTCGGTTAGAAATATATCAAATGGAACGGACTATTTCGAATCGGTCCGACCGTAATATTTGGGACCACCTTTGAGGGTGGTCCACTTTGACCGGTCCTGCCCATTTGACAAAATCATTGTCCCCAGTACCGCTCTTTTGTATCCTGCTTGCAAGAACAATAACCAAAAAACTTGCGCCATATGGAGTCATGCATTAAGGCT